ATATGTTGTACCCCAAAATTAGGTCATAAAATGCATAATATATTCCAATTACGCCACCAGTGTTAACAATTTGCGCACTGCACGTTCATGCATACAACGTGAAATCTACACCCCGATAGTGCTTCTAACAAACATTGAGATTAAGAATATCAGACGTAATCAAGATTTATTAAAATAAAACAAAGTCTTCATATAATATTGTGGAGTGAGTGTTGTTTAGTGTGTGTATATATAAGGAAATTCAAATTGCTCATTTATTTCTGAATAATGCCATTTAATATCACTGGTACTATAAAATCAATCTAGTTAACGTTATGTGATAGCGTTGTAGACTTATATAATAAATATTGCTGAAATACCGAGAAGGGATTATGTTTGTATTAAGTAGACTGAGTTTTGAAGTGAATTTTGTGCAAAGGTTGAGTTCGATCCCAATGGGGGAACATCACAATCCTATTTATAGGAGAGAATAGACAAATTGGCATGTTGTACATCAAATAAGTTACAGTGCTGACCTTAATATGTGTATCGCTAATCTAATTTTGATTGACTGTTGAGGTTGGTTTTCATGTTTCATGATGAAGCTAAGGTGGGAAGTAATCATTTCGAAATTGTGATTGATAACAATTTGGGAGGCCTGTGATGTTTGCCACTTGTCTTGAGATGATTGGATTAGATAAAAGTGTGATGTCAGCTATGGAGTAACGAAAATAAGAGTATAATGATAATGTTCCCACTTCCCTATATGATGGCGATAGTTCCTTTCTTTTGAAGATAAGGTAAGCTAGAAATTATTTTGAATTGATCTGAGCTAATCTTGGGAGTTCTATTCTGAAACGATGATCTTAACCTGGGTTTTAAATTCAATTTTTAGAAGATATAAACGGTTTCCATTCTAGACCCCCAAAACGTCGAATCCAAAGGACAAATTATTTTTCTGTTCTCCCCAAACGTATTATGAAATATTAAAGAAGTCCAAGATGTCCATAAAGAAACCAAGTCTGTGTTTGGTGTGGATTAACATTTTGTTAAAATTTTAAGTTAAAATTAATAATTATTTCTAGTCATACATTTTATGAAATCTATAGTTTTTTATTAATTTTTCAACCACATATTTCATCAAATTTTATCAAAATCTATTAAAAATCTTATTTTTAACTACACCAAATACGGATCAAAACCCGTTCACATTGATTTATTGTTTTTCTATAAAACTTAGCTAAAATTTTAACCATATATTTTATTCAATATGCAATTTTTATCAAAAATTGCCAAACATTTATAAAAACAATGTCAAACAAATCCTTAATTTATAAAACTGGAAACAAATTGAGGGTCCGCTAAAATTAAACAACTTTCTTGCATTATACTTGTTAAGTTTAGAAATAATTATGTATTTATGAATTCAAAATCATAATTGGTAAAACCATATATTAGAATAGGTGGATACACCCATATGAGCTAGTTTACTAAAGCAATACTGATTGAGAAATAAGTCGAGAGCCAACCTCATTATGCGTACCATCTTTATCAAGACAAAACATAGGGCATCATACACCGGAGTCTAATGGTACCTTCGCACGAGGGAAGTAAATAAGCTCTTCCAATTAAGTCAACTCCCAATGAGAGAGAGAGAGAGAGAGAGAGAGATTACACATAGGATATAAAAAATTGAGTAATGCTATTTAGCACAACTGATATTACAATAGCAATCTAAATGATTTTTTTATTTTTTTTGATGAGCCTGGTGTCCAGACCAGCTCACGCATACCTCGACTAATCTCACGAGACCCTAAAATTTACAGTTGGGTACTCACCTCAGTGGCCCTAAAGAGACTCGAACTCAATCTAGATGATACTAAGTATCATTAAGTAAATGTACAATTAAATGAATTACATAATTACACCTTTAATTAAAAATAGCACATAATGTTATATTGATTAGTGCCCTAGCACCAATTATGTTAGATAGCACTATTCTAAAAAATTAATGACCTGAATAACCTATCTGGACTTTCGGAGAACATGCAAGGAGAACTTTGATCCCTTCTCACCATGCAATTAATCTCTGGACTCTTACATATAATGGCAACTCGATGAATACTTGACATGTTTTCATGTTCCAAATAATCAAAACGAAACAAAAAACCAGATTTACTTTATCTGATATCAAACAAGAGCTGCAAAAAGAACACATTTCAAGAGTACCAGACTACGAATGTCTATATATATGGTGGGGATCCTTTTCACTCTGAATAAAATGAAAATGAGCCATTAACCTTGATTTACATCTTGATCTACCTTCATTAGATCACAAGTCATTCTGGACAGATCCTAGAAGCGCCAGATGAACTTATGTGTACATTCTGTGCCTCACACCCACACATACTAGATAACAAAATTTACATATTTAATATTGATTTTCCTCAGCAATTTTAAAGATATTTTCGACTGGAAGCACTTCATGAATGCTACGAAGGATGATAAAGTATTGGAGTCTCTTCCACCAAATTTGGCATACGTCAAACCCAGATCAACGCTCCTGTTTTTTGGAGAGTACAGTGTTGACCACGTTTTTCATAGTGATCGCGTGGACAATGAATGTCGGGTTCACTCACGTCCACACAAGCAAATTCTGACACGTTTTGACCGAAAATCCGCACAAAGATGGACAGCATTTATAAACGCGGGGATGCTTGATGACAAAAGATGAAAACATTTGAGCATCCACAATATGATCAAAAATAGTTTCACATAAACAAGCAATTATGAGTAAGTCAACAAAAGTGAAAACAAACAAAACTCAAGCTAATAAGTGTGGAATAATCGAGTGGGGAGATTGAGTGTGGTTTTAAGTATATAGAGTTGCATTAAGAACAAATATTACAAGAGTTCCTTATTTATATGGTTCCAGCCGAGATGGTTGCTGTTAGATTGGAACCATGTGGTTTCATCTCCCAACCTAAAGTCACATCACTCAGTATGATACGCATTTAATACATTGACAATGGACCAATCACTTTACATCTTAGGTTGACAGTTCTAGCATTCATTATCACAAACGTTACATCAGTCATTCCTAAAGATTACATGCAGATCCTTTAAAAGTCGGCAAGGGCTTCAACTAAAGGAAATTTCGGATGGAGGCGCAACTTCGGCTAATTCAAAGGGGGCTTTGGCCAACAATGTGAGGTACTTCGAGGCAGGGAGCATTGGCTCCTTTGACTTGTTTTCTGGCTTATTGTTGACTTGGTCAAATTTGACTCTCCTCTCCACAATCCACATGGACTATGATGTGATCTTCAATTGGAGCTTCAATGTGAGGCATGACATACAGTATAATCCTAATTCTATCTACGTACAAAACAGAAATTTTGGGTGTATACTGTTTTTAAGTGCAGCCTAGTTATTACCAAGGAGAGATGTTGAAGATATTAAAGCAGCGTAAAGTGATAGAATTTATGCATATTGATTCACGTATTGTTAATAATGGAAATTCCAGATCCAATCCGGAGACTTCGATGTCATGCAATGTATGAAGCACTTCGATTCTCAGAAGAGATTGAACTACTTGGAAACAAGTTCGTTTCCAGGCTTAAGGATAATAGTGGTCGATATATAGCTCTCCATTGGAGGTATATATCTTGCAAATATGTTGGGAAAGCTCAGTATATATAACAGAGAGAGAGTTGAGATTTCAGATTAGAATACTTTGTTGTAGGTATGAAAAGGACATGCTAGCTTCCACAGGTTGCAAGCACAACCTTACTAGGAAGGAGGCTGAGGAGCTCAGGAAATTAAGACACAAAGTAAGGCTCTGGAAAGAGAAATGCATAAATGGCACAGAGTGAAGGCTCCAAGGCAAGTGTCCAATGACTTCTTGGAAGGCAGCAATACTACTGGAAGCATTGGGATACCGGATACCCATCTACCACTAAAATCTGCATAGTTGATGGGGAAATTTATGGTGAAAATGCTCTCCGTGAAAAGCATCCTAATGTGTACTATCATTCTAATATAGCATTGAAGGTAGAACTACAACCATTCAGCCATCTACAAAATCAGCTTGCTGCCTTGGATTATATTAAAAGGTGATGTTAGCCCCTGTTTGGCCCCCATTTTTGGTAATGAAAATGGGGAGAATAGTATTTTGTTGAAAAAATGAGTGGTTGAAAAAGAAGGAAAAATTTTCGATTTACGTGTAATATTATTTTATGGAAGATTGTGTGGTTAAAAGTAGGAGAGAGAAAAATAGAATGTAATGTAATGTAATTTAATGGGAATCAAACAAGGGCTTATTGTTTATGCCAATGATGGAAATATGGCCAAGGTGGTTAGAGGTCATGGGATTTTTGAAGGCTATTAGAAAATCATTGATCTCGACAAGTAAGTTATTCATGGGCTAGTAGCAGTTTCTAGTTTTACCATCATTCTCTCTTTTTGATATTGGAATAAAATCTGAAATTGGCAATATAAGTAATGCCATTGTGATTATAAGCAAGAATAATATACAAGTCAAAATAAACATGTTCAAAATATAAAAAGTTAGCAATATTAAATTTGATTCCCAAGTGAATTTAGTTATCAGTACTCAGTAGCCCTAAACATGCACTGAACAGTAATTAAACTGAAGATTTAACTAGGATGGAATAACTAATAACGCCCCTAAATTGAGCCTTGGGCCACACCCCAAACATGTCTTTGAATCATAAGGCAAGAACACTCATCAAACTCGAAAAATTAATCCTCTAGTCCCATGCTTTAACAATCTATTATGTACAGGTTGAAGCAGGACAAATATAGAACGGTTTTTTCCTTTTTCCTTTTTTTCATTATTAACTCAGTATACAATAAACCCAATCCAAGAATTTATGAGCCTGAAATTGATTCCACGTTTAGCTCATTTCCAAGCTACCCGTAAATTTTCAGTCAACTAAGTAAAACTAATTCCAACATATTCACAACTCTAGATGTTGATCAACCAAAAGAACGAAAAAAACTAAAGAAAGTTGAAGTTGGACTTATTAGTCTTCAAAATATCAGATTCAAAAAACTAAACTCCATGATTATCTGTCCAACTAAATACTTTTACTGTTTTACATTTCCTAGCCATCTCAAAATAGAAATTTTTGCAGAAAACTCTGTGAGACTGATCGACAATATGGACAACGGCAATTTACCTTGGGAAGAGTTTTCATAAGAAGTCAGGCGCTTACATGAGAACAGGACTGGGGCACCACATCCCAGGTTAGTGGGAGATTCTCCAAAACTTGGGGAAAGCTTATATGCAAATCCTCTCCCTGGTTGCATATGCCAAAATTTGAGAAGGTAAGAGTAATGTGCAAGGAAAGACAACGGAAAAGGAGAGAGAGAGAAGGTAAGAGTAACATGCCAGGAAAGAAAACAGAAAAGAAGAGAACTCAGCTTACCAGGATGAACAGCACTGCAGCACAGCTTTGTTCATGTTCACACTCTGAACAGATTGTGCAAGTTCAGGCTGGCATCTCTACATGACTCCTTGTCCCAGAACTTGAAACGGTAGTATAAACAGAAGTCAAAGCAGATCCAATATTCATAGTGTCATTTTCAAATCTTCTACAATTTCTATACTTTTGCAAGAAAAAAAATCCGATCAATTTTGGTCATTGATTCTAGCGAAAAAGGGACTGGTTTCAACTCAAATGTAATATCACTACAATATTGAAAAAAGAACTTGTAAAATATTGATTCTACCAAGTTCTGGTGCAAATGCAACATGAACAGATTTTGCATTATCCATTCAATTTTTTGCCTTGATGCTTCAGCTGAATAGCAGTCAAACAACGCATAGAACACAGACAGATGTTTTGATTGGTCAATTACTTTAGAAATAAATAGGCAATCACCTCGCATTAATATATGTAGTAACATAAACTGACATTAAGAAATCAGCTCTTCAGCAAAAGAACTCAAGAATCAAAAAGTTATTTTAGAAGCTCTAGAAATAGTTTGCATGCACTTATTGCTGCGATATGGTATTGCTAGTAGCACTGCAGATAGCTCAACTTTGGATAGCATATACCATCGATCTTCCAATCAACTATACCAATCAAGAAAGAGAATTGAAAAAGTAAGAACAAATAGGAAAAGTAAAAGAAAAGTTCTGCTGCCGCTATTCCGTTGAATGGCTTGGGACAGCTCTTTGTTACCAAGCTGTACATTCTTTGTTGCTTCAACAGCCTGTTAAATGAAACAGAAATACATTGAAGGTTACGTATCATTACAATCAAATGAACAAAGACCCAAAAAAGAACATGTGTTTGTAGAATAGAAGTGAGCCATAAACTATATTCCTGAGTTGTCATTGCATGTTGCCATTTTCCCTCAAAAAATTAGAAGACGAAGGTTAATGAAATCATATATTCTCTGACCTGCTCATACAAATGCTCTATCTGTTGTGTCTGTTGCAAAACATGTGTGGACATGAGATGGTTCAGAGCAGACATTTCCACCATCTTTGTTTCAGTTTCTTGCACAGCATCTAACATGCTCGCCAACTCAACCTATATTAATATGACAAGTAGTGTTTCAGAAAGCATCATTCTTGTGAAACACAATCAAAGACTTTCTCAAGCTGCAAGCATGTACAATCTTACAGAAATCAACCAAAGTACTAATTACCTGGAGGGCACGTGTCTCATCATCCAGAACTTGCTGCTGGACTCTGATGGGCTCTGCTTGAAATTCATTAGCCTCCCTAACATCCGAATTGTTTACTTCAGTGGACTGCAAATTGCTAGACTCCGTAGCATTTTTTATGCCACTCTTCAGTTTTCTTTTTGGCATAACTCGGTTAATAGCATCTTGGAATCGTATGGCTCTCAGCTGATCAAACTTTGATGTAACTGAATGAAGCTTTTCGCTTAAAATCAATACCTGTACAACAATATTAAACGCCATTTTTATTCTAGCTGCTCATTTCATTGACAAAATATTACCAAGACTGAAACAGATATATACTAGTGATGATAATTAAAAAACGATCATCACTTCTTTCCCATACGACAATCACAAGACAAAAACAGATATATAATCATCTGCAATGCAATTAAAACTGGAATCCACTTCCCCATATGGTAGAGAATAAAATCGTGATTATCGAATTGGATAAACTTGGGCCATGAGATTTATATCCAAGGGCTTTTACTCTTTTTGATATATCAAGTCCAAAACAGGTAACAAGTGATTACATAGAAAATTCTCTTACTGCCTATAAAGCGAATGAGCATTCATTCAGAAAACTAGACTAGGAATTTGAAAAATGTATAACAGAAATGATAATACCCAGGCAGCATATGAAGTCAAACAATCAATGAAACTCATACCACTCCATGTTTGTGTGCTATAGTGTCAGCATTCAAATTGTCACCCCTGATACCAAGCCATCCTTTTGAATTTGATTCTTCAGCATTTATACTATTCTTGAGAACATCTATTTGCTCTTTGCATGAGTTGATGAAAACAGTAACCTACAAAAAAATATAGAGGTACAAATAGATATTTGAAACAACTAATCATACAATGCGTGTTCCTTTATAGGTCGTGATGCAGACAAACAAAAAGAACAATAATGTATGATTACAAATCTTTGATTTGCGCATGAATTCCGAAAAGCAATTTCATTAATAATAATAATCCAAATCCAAAAGAATATAATGAAACCTATAAAGTGTTTAAATAGTAATTCTAAAACAAAGAAAACCCTAAAACCTAATTAAGGACAAAAATGTCTTAATTAAAGAACATTAGACATAAAATAAAATAATAAAGGAAAGGAAAGGAAAAATATTGGGTTCAACTGGGAGTAGATTTCGGCTCCATCATTCTCCTTAGGTTAGTCAATATTCATCCTCGAACCTTGCAAAGAGCCTTCTTAGCACAGCGTTGTGCGAACCACCGTGATAGGTACTTGATGATAGCGCAATATGGGGATAGGCGTCGGAAGGGAGTTGTGATGATGCCGGAAGGTGCGAATGGAGAAGGATGGGCATCAATCTTGCGGGTGTTTCAAATTGTTGTTGATTCTTTTGTTTCTGGGGATGAGGCCAAACATCAACCGGTGAATGAACGTAATCGACAAAGATTGACTTATGCAGACATAACAGCAAACTTACATGCCTCGAAGCATGCTGACCAGCGGATGCAACAGCAAAAGGAGATGACTGTCAATGTCAGTGTAGACGAAGGTCAGGATTGTTGTTTGAATAGGGCTGAAATTATGGCCCGTGTCCAGGAATTGAAAGGAGCGTTGAAGGAATTGATTAGGCTAGTGGGAAGTGGGTATGAAATGGGCCCCAAAAAGTTGTTATGTTGCCACAAGTGTGGGGTGGGTATGGATGAGTATCCAGCTGTTGGAAAACAAGCATCGGGTTTGAATAAGAAGGAATCGGCACATAATCAAGTAAAGCAGGGAAGACTCAAAATCACTTGTGAGTCTATTGATCAGATTGAAACGGATGAGGGACACTCTAAATATGACAAAGGTGATGTCTTAGGGGGGATGGATATGGATGAGGTAGACACGGGGACCGATGTAGACCGAGAGGTGCTTTGTTTAAAGAAGGGGAGCCGAGTATGGTGAACTTGGAGACAATAATGATGGGTGCAATGGACATAGTCCCACATGATGATGGGCTATTATTAGGTGACCAAGGGACGAGGCATGTACTGTTAGGGGTGATAGAGCATGACGCGACACCTTTGACAACAAGGGTTGCGAACACATATAATAGAAGGAACTCTAAGTCAATGAAGGTAAGTGACTTGGGGACGGAAAAAGCACTGGTGTTGTGGGTAGATGGAGCCAAGAAGGGAGAAATAGAAAGTGATGTTATACAGGTGGAGGAAACAGGAGAACGGATTGGATTCGAAGCTGGATACCCACCTTCGAACTGTGTTCTATAGAAAATTCAGGATTTCAGTAAGTTAATAGGCGTGTCTTGTGATGGATACGAAAACATATTACTACAATTGTTTAAGGATTTGGAGGCCAATAGAGGATAGGAGATGAGTAAACAAGAAAGTAAATTAAGAAGAAAGGGCGATCGTGAACTTAAGAGGCTCGAATGGTCAGTTAATTATGATGACAAGGTGGTGAGTCCAAGAATGGAGTACTGGGGAGAGATGTTGGGCTGTTAAAATGATACCACGAATCATTAGCTGGAATGTAAGGGGACTTAATGAAGTTGGAAAAAGGATGGGTGTTCGACATCTGCTAAAGGGCTGGGGAGCAAATCTTGTATGCTTACAAGAAGCCAAGATGGAAGTCATCTCGAGGGCGGTGGTCAGTAGCTTATGGGGTGGACAGCATGTAGGGTATCAGTTTATGAGATCATTAGGGACTTCTGGAGGCTTATTAGTTATGTGGGACACCAGAGTGCTTGAGATGGAGGAGGTGAGTGTAAGATTGTTCTCAATATTGATGTCGTTCAGAAACATTGGGGATGGATTTCAGTGGATGTTCATAGGTGTTTATGGGCCTAATACTGATGATAGTAGACGGGGCTTGTGGGATGAACTGACTAGAATGATGGCTTGGTGGAATCTACCAACGTGTATAGGAGGTAACTTTAATGTAGTTCAATTTCCTATGGAGAGGTCGAGTGGTGGGAGATTCACGGGGGCTATGGAGGAGTTTTCAGACTTTATTAAGGAGAATATATTGGTGGATTTGCCTATATGATTGGAGGAGATTTTACCTGATCATCTAATCGGGACCAACCTGTTCTTTCTCGTATAGACAGATTCTTGATATGCGGAGAGTGGGAGGCTAAATATTCAGATGTCATTTAGAGAAGATTGAGAAGGGTGTACTCTGATCATTTCCCCATTATATTAACTAGGAACAGGACGGGTGGAGGACGAAGTCCTTTTAGGTTCGAGAAAATGTGGTTGAAAGTTGAAGGTTTTAGGAAGCAAGTACAGACTTGGTGGACATCTTACGATATCAGGGGGTCTCCTAGTTTTGTGTTGGATCAGAAGTTGAAGTCTTTGAAAAGAGATTTAAAGAAATGGAATGAGGAGGTTGTGGGCAATGTGAACTGTTGTAAAATTCAGTGTCTTTCGGAGATTGATGAGTTGGATAGATGAGAGGAGAGTCGAAGGTTGGCTGGGGAGGAAAAGGAGAAACGTAGAGCATTAAGGGAAGAATTGGAGATGTTCGTGGAGATGGAGGAGATTGTTTGGCGTCAGAAATCTAGGGTCAATTGGTTGAAAGAAGGAGATAAATGTACTAAGTTTTTTCACAGAATCGCTAATTCCAATAGGCGCAAAAATTCTATCACAGTGTTGGAAGTGGTTGGGATAACTTATGAAGAACCACTCGAAATTGGAAGCCAACTGGTGAATTTCTATCAGAATCTATATCAAGAGCAATCTGAGTGGAGGCCAGAGTTGGAAGAATTGAATTTTTCTACTATCGCGGAGTATGATGCCGGTTGGTTAGAGCAACCTTTTGAGGAGGATGAAATCAAGGAGGTAGTGTTTAGCATGGACGAAAATAAGGCCCCTAGACCATACGGTTTCTCGTTCTCATTTTACAAGGCTTGTTGGGAGGTGGTGCAATCGGAAATTTTGGATGTGTTTACATATTTTTTTGAACATGGCAGGTTCCAAAAAAGTTCTAATGCTACATTTGTTGTGCTGATCCCTAAGAAACCGGGTGCGACCGACATTAAGGACTTTCGCCCTATTAACCTAGTCTGTGGGGTGTATAAGATTATTGCGGAAGTCCTGGCGAACAGATTAAAGGAGGTGCTCGGGAAAGAAGTGTCCAAGTTTCAGAATGCTTTCGTAAAAGGTCGCCAGATTTTGGACTCTGTGCTTATAGCGAATGAATGCATTGATTCAAGATTCCGATTGGAAATTCTTAGGATACTATGTAAGCTCGATATTCAGAAGGCATATGATCATGTGAACCGGGGGTTCCTTTTGTATATGGGCCTATCTGGAGGAGATTAGTAGCAAGAATTTGACCGTTGAGTGTGGCAGGCAGGTCCCACGCGTGAGAGCTTCAGTTAAAAAAAACGGCTGAAGACTGTGGCAACGGTAGGAAATTTACTTTTAATTGGAATGAAAATCTTTACCAGACAGCACCTATGCTTAGGAGGTGCGGCTTCGGGGATAAGTGGTGTAAATGGATTCAGTTCTGTATTTCTATTGTTTCGTTCTCAGTTATGGTCAATGGAACGTCAAAGGGTTATTTTCGGAGTAGTAAAGGATTGCGGCAAGGAGATCCATTATCCCCATTGCTATTTGTTATTGTGATGGAGGCTTTTAGTAGGATATTTGAAAGAGCTGTGGGAGAGGGTTTGGTAATGGGCTTTAGGGTTGGCCAATTGCAGGTGTCTCATTTGCTATTTGCAGATGACACGTTGATCTTATGTGATGCAGATGATGAACAATTAAGGAACCTACGTCGTTTGCTCCTATGTTTTGAAGCGGTATCTGGATTAAAAATCAATTTGGGGAGATCTGAGGTTATTTCAGTTGGGGAGGTAACTAACGTAGAGGAGGTGACAGGTATATTGGGATGTAGAATTGCACAATTGCCCATGTCATATTTAGGCCTCCCGCTAGGAGCACGATTTAAAAGTACACATATTTGGAATGGTATTATGGAAAGAATGGAGAGGAGGTTAGCAGGGTGGAAGCGTATGTATCTTTCTAAGGGAGGCCAACTTACTCTTATTAAATCCACTCTCTCAAATCTCTCAACTTATTTTTTGTCATTTTTTCCTATTCCGGTTGCAGTGGCAAATAGATTTGAGAGACTTCAAAGAGAATTCTTGTGGGCAGGGTTAGGTGAGGAGAGGAAAATGCATTTGGTTAATTGGGGTATTATTTGTTTACCTATGAGGATGGGGGGACTTGGAGTGAGGAGCCTTATTTTGTTTAATAAGACTTTATTGAGCAAGTGGTTGTGGCGATTTGAAGTGGAGAGGGAGAGATTTTGGAGAGAAATCATTGGGGCAAAGTATAGTGTGATGGAGGGGGGTTGGTGTACGGTTGAGGGTCGTGGCTCCTATGGGGTGAGCTTGTAGAGGTATATCCGACGGGGATGGAGTGATTTTAGGGACAAACTAAATTTTGTGGTGGGAAATGGCACTGATATTAGATTTTGGGATGATAGTTGGTGTGGCCATCAACCGTTAAAAGAAGGATTTCCTTCATTGTACCGCATTGCGTTAGAGCTTGCTGCTATGGTGGGTGATGTATTAGACATTCATAATGGGGGCTATAGTTAGAATATTACTTTTGGGAGGGGTTTACAGGATTGGGAATTCGAAAATTATTCGTTGTTTTTGACCGCTCTACATGAGATACAATTTCGGGTAGGAGAGGGTGATTGTAGCAGGTGGATGTTGGCTCGAGATGGTATTTTTTCAATCCGCTCATACTTTCAATCCCTTTTGGGATTTTTGGAGAGTTCATTACCTTGGAAGATGGTGTGGCAAAGCAAATTGCCTCCACGAGTAGCATTTCTATTGTGGACAGTTATTCGAGGGCAAGTGTCAACGGTGGATAATTTTCGACGAAAAAGATTTTATGTAACCGAGTGGTGCTATATGTGCAAAAAGGATGGAGAGACGATTGATCATTTATTCATTCATTGTGATGGTATACGTTGGCTTTGGAACAGTATTCTGGCTTCTCAATCAATGGATTGGGTGCTACCTAGGCATATAGAAGACATGGTGCGGGCATGGAGAAGAAAATTTCGCGATAAGGATAGCAAACTTCTATGGAATCTTATCCCGAGATGCATTGTATGGTGCATATGGAGAGAACGGAACGATCGATGTTTCGAAGATCAAACAAAGACAACAGAGCAGATAAGAGAATTATTTTACTTGACTTTGTATACTTGGTTTAATGCAGTGGCTAAAAATCCTGTTGTAGGGTTGCCTAATTTCATGTTGTTCCTTTCATGCTTAAAGTGATTGTGTACCTCCCGCGTACTCTCTTTTAAGGAATAAAATTCTCTGATTACTTATCAAAAAAAAAAAAAAAAGAGAAATAACATTGTGCAAACCCACAAATATTTTCTTGATTAAGCCAAGTCCACTTGATGCTGATAAATAATTAATCTCACCAACCCAACCTGTGAGTGGTCTCTTTTTTACCACCTCATTATACCCAAGTTCATAGCCCCCAAAAGTATTATAGTTAATAATAAACAAACCAAAATCTTGAGAAATCAAACAAATATGCAAATCAGCAGGTGAAACTAAAGAATTTGAAAATGTCAAATTCAAAAGTGGGGTCCCCTCTAAAAACTTACCATGCAAGAGTAAATTTGTACCAAACAGAACACCAGTATTCACATTCTTTCCAAAATGGTATTCTCCCAATATGTTTTTTCAATTTTTGTATTTCTTTTTAATTTTGTGTCAACATCCATGTTAAAAACAGGTGCAGTGGCGTACTCGTTTGAATACCCAGTTACACGAGGCACCTAAATATCAATCTCCTCATAAAAAATAGATAAATCAACATACATTTGTTGCTTGCGATTAAAAGGGACAAAGGATATTCATCGCTATCGGAGTTCTCCATGACGACTCTACATCGATTTTTCACGCCACCCGCATCCACAACTCCGTCATGTTGATCCCTATAGTCACCTCCCTCATGCCAACCGTCTCCATTGACACCCAACAATACTCATTCCTGTGCCTTCAATGTATAATCTAATTGCTCTAACAAATTGATTTGCCTATAGATTATGCCATATTCTCCCAATACTGAATCTCGTCCAATAGGACTTCACGAACATCAACCACTCTCTATCAAGAACGTGGTTATGCACTGTTTCCAACTGGCGCAGATAGAATTGAGCAAGAACAATATCAGATGATTACAATTCATTGATTCATGCATGAATGCCGAAAGGCGACCAAGAACTGGAGAAAACTCTCATAACTTCATTAATGTTAATAATCAAAATCCAAATATAATGAAACCTATGAAGCGTTCAAATAGTGATCCTAAGATAAAGAAAATCCTAACACCTTATTAATTAAAATTTAGTAAAGAATATACAGGATTCAACATGGGGTAGGTTTCAGCTCCATCAGATTGAAATGGAGAACATATCACTAAGTCAATATAGATAACAAGATAGTCAAAATATTATCAAGTTCATATGATATTTGAAAGTGAATTTCATCAAGCATTGAAAAATCAAAAATTAATAACTTTAACAAAAAGTTAAGATAACTATGAGATTTTGCCCTACTAATTTATTGGAGGCAGATCTTCTCCACTGCATTTTATCGCGCCCTCTTACAAAAGTACTTCTATAGGACGATGGATGGGGGAGGAGGGCTGTATTTTTTTCTCTCTTTTTTCTTTTGTCGGTGAGGGAAAATATACCTCCTAGACAATTTTCAAACTCTCAACGGTGATTTTATCCTAGCAAAATTAAACATATTTAATTTATATACCATGAAGCATTTCTACTTTTTAAAGGGAAATATTATTTGTTATGCCTTATATTAGGTATTTGATTTGTTTAATACAAAGCTTTAAGGTTGATAAGAAAAAAGATCGATACAACTGAATAATTTTCAGTCTCACTGGAAAATTGTATATCATTCTATGCTTTCCATCACGCAATTACTTTGATTCTGAAAATTACTCTACGCTGCTTATACAATATATGCATGAGTGAGTTCAAGATACTCAAGAAAATTACAATAGTTATATCCAAAGCATGTATTCACATTTGCATATCCCCTTTAGCCTAAGGATGGAAAAGAAGGTATCTCAAGCAATAATAAGCACAACAATCTCTGTAATGCTTGTAATTCATCAGACATCCTCATGACAGAGAATTTAACAAAAAGAATAAATCAATTTCGCTGGAAATTAGTTAAAAGCAAACTCATTGCAAATGCTCTCCTCAAATTACAGGGTGGCTTCAACTATGATTTTGATAAATTTTAAAAAGATTATAAATCCTAATGAATTTCGTGGATTGGAATAGATTTTCACAAATTCCATAAGAATCTCATCAAATATGTTGAAATTTCAAAAGATTTGGTTATATGTATTTTTAAGCTTGAAATCCATCCAAATCTTTTAAAATCCATTGTTAATAAATTCTTTATAAATTCACTAGTTATTAAGGATGCCTAAACTTTAAATATTTCATTGAATTTCATTAAAATCAAAATTAGGGAAACCTAGATTTTAATGAATTTCATAAAATTCATTAAAATCTCAATCAAGAACACCTAAATTTAGAAGGATCTTTAATATCCATCACAATCTCAATTCAAGACACCCTCTTCAGACAAGTACAGATAAACTTTCAAATCCTTACTTCATGCTCAATGCCATCTCTCTCTTGTTCAGTGGTGCGACGGAGATCCAAATAATCCTTTTTATGCGTCATCAAGAACTGCTCCAGAGCACCAATGCTTTCGAGCTGGCAGATGATTGTCATAGAAGCTTAGTCAATCAATTACAAAATGTCAAAATCCACTCTGGTAGTATATCTGAATATGTTTCAACTTTTTTGCTATCATCGGCATATTTATAACTAATACAGAATAGCAAGATACATATAGGCTCTCAAAATAGATACCGTCTTCAGGGCTGCTTTGGTGAAAGGTGACCTTTCACGTCTTTTTTGGAGGATAAAAGATGCCATTATTGTTGCTGTTTTGAACTGCCAGAAATATACAGAGCTCAGAGATTTAAGTGCAATTATCAACCATTATACCAAAATTAAGCATATACATTCAATGTAAAAATTAAAAAATGGGAAGCTCTCGCAACATCATCTTGATTGAAAAACAAATTCAGTGAGATTGGAAAGGAACCTCATTATATCCCAAATTCAACGCGGCACGGTGAACTGAATCTTTAAAATCCTCAGTTCTGTCTCTAACTTTTGTCATTGTTTCACTGCTAATTCGAGAGGGAGGAAAAATACAATTTCCTGTTCAGAAAAAATATTCAGTACAACTTAATTAATCGCCGTAAAAAGGAAACAACATGAAACATAATAGCAAATTAGTAAATCGCAATTTTGCGTCTGAAATATTACACTAGCAGAACAGGATAGAGGTTTTGATAATTATTCAAGTCTAGTAAAATAAAATAAAACTTCCTAATCTTTAGAGAAAGAAATAAAATTTTGTGAATCCCATACAAGGGCGGATCAAGAACAATATGTCAAGGGCTGAAAATTGAAGAGATCAATATACAAACAAAACTAAGAGAAACAACAAGTTACAAGCAAGATCTCCTTTAATTATAAGCAAAAATTCCTTCAATCACTACTAACCACTACCAAAAAGATTAACGAAAGGTTAAAATTAAGATCAAATATAAAGTAGCAGCATAGCAAAAGGTATCAATTTGACTCCAAGTTCTCTACCACAACTGAAGTTTAGAAAACGAAGATTCTAAATTCCAGAATAGATAAAACCACTTTCACATATTACAAATCTGGTTAGTAAAACCAACAATGAAAATGTAAAGGGTCAACTTTCTAAAACTTGATTGTTTAAAGGGGGAAACAGTAACAAAACGAAGAAGATACTACTATAATTATCTGATTCACTCTGTCACTCAACTCCAAAAAGAAATAAAGATCATGTATCTATTAAGAAAAATAAAATATTATATTTTTACCTTAATTGAGATATTAAAAAGGCGGTTATTTAAGGGATAGAGAGAGAGAAAAAAAATTAAACATTCAATCATCCATATTAAGTACTTGTTGAAATTGCAGCAAATAAATAAAAAAATAAATCAGAAATCAGAATATATATATATATATGTGTGTGTGTGTGTGTGTGTGTGTGTGTGAACAAGAACAAAACCATTCACTCGCCTCAAATGCTCGGCTGGAGCATCCAGGCAGAGCCGAATAAATAAATTGGCGATTTTGTGTGTCCGTATCGTCTGCAAAATTCAGGGGAGAGGGGGAGATCCTCAGTGACAGACTGAGATTTGATAATTGGGTTTCATTTGGGGCTTTGAGAAATGGGAATTGGCTATGGGGAAAAATAAAGACAGGTATATGCACCAAATTAATTTTGAGACGTTAAATTTAAAAATGCAGAAATGATGTGTTAATTCTGATATAATTTTAAAGAATAATATTATCAAATTAAGCCCCCGTTTGAGCCCCATTTCTTGGAAATTATAATGTTTTGAATAGTGTTTTTTTGAAAAATGAGTGGATGAAAAGAAAAGAAAAGATTTTGATTTACGTGTAATATTATTTTATTGAAGATTGTGTGGTTAAAAGTAGGAGAGTAAAAAATTTAATTTAATGTAATGAGGAATAATGGGGCTCAAATGGGGGCTTAAATTAATTTACCCACAACCACTCAACCCCACCCTAGTGCACCCACGCCGCCACCTTCCCCTCTTATAGTCGTCCACATACACCGGTCAATGACTACCCTGCATCTCAACTTTTTCAACAGTAAACATGAGCATCGCTAACTCAAGTAGTAAAGATAGAGAGAGTTGTTAGCAACCTTTGGAGAACATCGGTTGAGCATCGGCATTAACTAATCATCTTCTTCATCCATGACTCAACAATGTTGGTTTTATTTAAGACGATTTTTTAAAATGGAAAAGTGAAAAATATCCCCTAGTCTAATTTACAAAGTATTTATCAGAGCAAATAACTTCAATTTTCACTATTAAAAACTAGTTAATTGAATTCATGACCAGTTTGAATAACTCAGATTGGAGAAATCAAATGACATGTGACCAAATCTTTTGAATTTGTTATATAGGATCAATGCATTTTGGCATATGACTTGTGATCTGGTCCAATGACCTGTGACCAGATCTTTCGGATATGTGACATGTGACCTGAAACCGTTACGACATATGACCTGATTCAATGCCTCGTGAAGAGATATCTTGGGTCTGTGACCAAATCTCTTGAATCTGTGACTTGTAACGTATGCACTTTGGCACGTGCCATGTTATATGTGCCTTTGACCTGATCCAATGGCAGTTGAAAAAATCTCCTAGATTTGCGACCTGATCCAATAGCTTGTGACGAAATCTTTTGAATCGACGACCTGTAATCATTTTAACATATGACTAGTACACTTTGATAGGTCACATATTTAATAAATATGATCATAAAAACTCAATTGATTATGACATGCACACTGCCACCATCACCACCAGTGGACATTGATCCACCACTATAACACTTCACCACAACCACCAGTAGAACACTATGACCATCACCACTAACAACTCGACAACCAAGTAAATCACCAATGCCAAAACTATGATAAAGCATCAGATTGAAGGAAGGAACACTCAACACATAGAGGTACCTTGTGTCCGAGTGCAACAACCATTATTAGTGGCGATGGTGGCATGACAACGACAACAGCGCCACTCATGCTGCACTGTAGCAACAAGCCCAAAGCTAGATTATAGCGGCCCAACACCAAATCTGAAGTCTGACAGATTAAGAGCGTTGGTGGCATTTTCTTCTGGATCGAGCTCATCTAAAACTAAGTTGGAATCTTGATTTTCTGACTGGGTTAGCCTGGAGTAGAGCTTACTAGAACCATTGTTGTGCGGTGCTCAGTGGCGAACTGAGCGTCGACTATGTGGCTTTGTGTACAACCTTGTTGGCTGGAGTTTCGATGACGATTAGGAAAAATCATAACTCAAGCGATCGATGCTTAATTTATGCTCAAGTAAATTTAATACGTGATTTCATAATTGTCATCTTTAAATACTTGTTGTGTAATTTCCAGTTTTCCACATTGGCCATTTTTCCTTGGGCCTTGGGCTGTGGGATAATGGGGTTTAATTGGGGTGGGCTACATAAATATCTGTGCCTGTTTTGCCCTGGCTTAAGGCCCAGCAAGGCAAGGGTACCCTAAGTCGTACAAATATCAAATGGGTAATTAACATAAAATGTCCATATCATTTTCATTTTTTGGCAAATCTTCAACATCTTTTCATTTTGGTGCATTTTACCCCTTGATAACAAAATGTTGCTCAAATCATCCATGTCATCCAATTCTATAAAATTCCTTTAGGGTAATTAGTACAAAACATCATTACCTTTCAATGTTATTGTACAAAACATTATTACCTTCCATTTTTTTAGCATTTTTACCACCACCTTCACATTTTATTGTATCAATCATCATTTTCATCAAATTTCTCGTGTAAAATAACAAATATACCCCCATTTAAATAAAATAATAAAAATGAAAAAAAAAAGTTGAAGAATAAGTAGCAATCAGACTCCCAAGCTTTTTAAAAAAGTGTTAATGAGTCCAGATTAAAATGTTAATTAGCACAAAATATCCCTACCTTTCATCATTATTGTGCAAATATCCATACATTTCATTTTTATTTTTTATTTTTACATTTTCATCCTTATTTTTATATTTCATTGCAAAAATCATATTTTCATCAATTTTCTCAATTAAAAGATGTAAAATAACAAATATGCACTCATATTTTAATAAACAAAAATAAAGAAAAGAAAATTAAAGAACAAATTGCAACTATACTCCTAAATTTTTCAAAAAAAAAATTAAATAAATAATTAAAAAATTACTTTATTTTTTAGTTATTTATTTGTACCTTTTTTTGAAAATTTTGGAAATATAGTTGCAATTTGTTCTTTATTTTTTATTTTTTTCTCTTTGTTTATAAAAACGAGTGTATATTTATCATTTAACAGCTTTTAATTGAGAAAATGGATGAAAATAACGATTTTCGTAATGAAATATGAAATAAGTGTGAAAATGTCAAAAAAATGAAATGTATGGGCGTTTTGCCCAATAATAATGAAATGTATGGACATTTTTTGATAATTACCCTTTTAATAATTTATTTGGACTTATTTGCACTTTTTAAAAAAATTTGGGAGTATGATTACAATTTATTCTTTAACTTTTTTTTATTGTTTTATTTAAATATGGAGTATATTTGTCATTTAACACGAGAAATATGAAAAAAATGATATTTTTGCAATAAAATAACATGTGATGCTAGAGCAGGTAATTTATGAGATAACATGTTTGAACATATAATAGAAGATGATGAGCAAGGGAATCTATAATGCTCTGACTCGGATGCTGGTATCGGATACGGGTACAAATCTAGAAGCCGGATCCTCTCATTATAAAAATTAAGATATGGGGATACGGTTAAAAAGAATCCAAATTTTAGATACGGGTACAGTACTTCTTACAATTTTTTAATTTTTAAAAATCATAGAACAATACCAAAATAACAAAGAGAAAAATTGTTCAATTAATGTAAATAACCACAATATTAAATTAACTTGTAAAAATAATTAACTGATATTGGTTGTTAAAAAATGAACTCCTAGTTTATTTTGGTTCTCAACTCCTTCGATAAAATCAATTTAAACAATTGGATTATAATTCGAAATCAATTTAAATTTAAAGTCAAAGTAAATTCTTTTCCAAAAATTTAAGAAAAAATCAATTTCAATGTCTTATATATTATTTAAAAACAATTATAGAAATAAATTTAAATTTAATACCAAAGAAAAGATATATCTTTAATTTATTTTAATTACAACATAAATTGTTCGTAAAGATAAAATATAAGAAATTAAAAAAATTATATAAAAATAAACTCAAATTAAATTATACAAAAATAAATTCTTTAACTACATTCATTAGACTTCACAATAGCCCATTTAATACATTATCATTAACTCTATTCACTGGACTTCTCAAAAGCCCATTTAACCCCTCTAAAACTCATCGTCTTCCATAATTCATTGTCTTCCCCAAATTTCTCTCTTTCTCTGCAAATTTTTCAGCCGCTAGAGAAGCAAGATACCTTCCATTATCTTCTAGCCATGTCCAAGTGTAAAACGAAGGATCCAATCTATATCCCATGTCAGTATCTGTGTCATGTTGTGTCGACAAGGATACTTATCCATTTTTCGAGAGTCCAATCAACATAGAAGGGAATAATGTATCGGATGCAGAGGAAAGAAGAGATGAACTAAAAGTTGGGTTGGTGGAGTCAAACTAGGAAATGAAGGAGCAACAGGTTGGTATTGGCAAAACTGAATTTTGATTTTGATGTTGTTGTAAATAATGTTACTCCACCAAAGATATTATGAGACCGAATTTTGCCCCCACTATTTTGGTGTTTAAAGGGTGATCCGGCAAAAGGTTTGAAGGATTAATCAAGCCTTATAGAGATTCAAAAACTAAACACTTGTTTGAATCTCTAAAACTTAAGAACACAAAGAAAAGGATGAATATGAGAGGGTATTTTCTTTTTGATTTGATCTCAAGAAGTATCAATATAATAGGTGTTTTTTTCAACATTTTTCAATGACCCAAGATTATCTATTTATAGCCAAGTAGTATAGCTTTAAGAAGTGGTGCACCTTATGGATGAAAAGCCACCAAAAAATCAACAAAAAACGACCCAACAGTCGTTTTTTATGTACCATGCGACCGCATGGTACAAACCCATGCGGTCGCATGGTACAACCCTACCGAGACCATTTGGTCTCGGTAGGGTTCCATGCGGTCGCATGGCTTTAGGCCTTGCGACCGCATGGCCTAAATTTTTTTTTTAATGTTGGTTTTGAACAATCATACCACTTCATAACAATCCCCCACTTGTTCAAAATTAACAAGTTCTCATATTCAAATTATACGATACTCATGCGTAAGGATTAGATATCTTTCGATTTGAATCTAACCATAGTGTAATTCAAACAAAGTAAAGTCGAAATTCAAGGTAGCGTGAAGCTTTGAACCAAGTATTTCATGTGACAATACCGGTAAGAACACACACACGAATATCACGTGTTCTCAAGTTCCTCGTTTCTCGCTT